TAAAGTTTTGATATATTTAATAAAAATTAAAATAAAAACAAATTAAATATTTAATATTTAAACATTTTAATTAAAATTATTATTTATTAAATTTATAAATTGTCAAAATAGAGATGAATTGATTCTGTAATATTGGAAGAACAAGATGTTGAAAACTGCAATAAATTATCTCGAAAAAAAATGTAAAAAGTTAAAAAATTTTTTGTATTATGTGAAGGAAACAATAAATTTTAAAAAATCTAATTTTTATTTTCTTAATATTTATTTATTTATTATGAAAAAAATGAATTTAAAATGGACGATATACAATGGTCTTATATGAAATTATATCTTAGTTTATAGTTCTATAATGAGTATACCCTAAATGATATTAGCAAATTATACTTATTATACCTAAAATTATATATATTTTTGTTACTACAAACGTATAGTTTTATGTTGGAGATGACTGCATAATAAAGATAAACAGATAGTTTGGAGAATGGTCATAAAGATTAGTTGCATGAGATATTAGAGGTGAAGTCCATTAGTATATATGATGAATTTTTTTTTTTTACTTGTAGTAAGAGATTTAAAACTTGTTTACTTATAAATTATCTAAATCTATAAATTTTTAAGTTATAAAAGTCATAAAAGCTATGAATATAAAAAAAAAAATTTAATGTTTTTGACCTATATCTACAACTGTAAACTTATTTTATGATTGAAGTATCATGTGTGAAGTATTGCAAAGATTTATATCATTTCTGAATTGATAAAACTTTAATAATTTATAAATTATATTTTGAATTATTTTAATTCTGAAATTAAAAATCTAGAAAGTTAAACGTGATATTGATACGTGATGGTTCTCCAAATCAAGAATAATCTTCAAAACTTAATGCAAATTAAAAATCAAATATGAAGTATATTTGAATTTTATATCAGTTCTATTGAATTGTAATTTATTTTCATGTAAAAATTCAGTTTTATCTGCATCTATAATGATAATCGATTCCGAAGTCAATAGTCGTATGACAAATATCCGAACAGCTTATCTATCTATCATTTACTTATAATGTGATTTAGTACTAAAATAATCTATGTTTAATCAAATAATATAATTTTGAGCCTTATCACGATTTTTCTACACATTACAATGTTAAACAAATGAAAAGGAGGACAGAATTTAATGACACGAATTAATTATATTTTACTACAGATTATAATCATAAATAAATGAAAGAAATTAAGCAGATGATAAAGGAAATTACTGTAAATTAAATAAAGAATTTTTTATATAAACGTACATAGTTTATGATCATACATTTGTTTAACGTATTTATCTTAAGGATTTTAGAGATAAACAACTAGTCATCCAATTAGCATTAAGATAAACATATCTGTAACCAATCACTGTCAATTTCTTTTATGCATGATATCTTAAAGATTCCACGGAGAACGACATATATTTATGGCTATAATTTTACTGCATTTTATTAACTGTAATAAACATAAACATTATATTTACTTAACAATTTATCTAGCATACAGGAAAATAAATAAACATACAAAATAAACAGTAAAAAAAGGAAAATAAATGAATTTATTAAATAAAGTAAATATGAAAATGGTCTTTACTGAATATACGAAATTTGAATTTAAGTGGATTTTTACTAATTTTTTTACACTTTTATTGAAATACAGTGTGTCTTTAAATCAGTGCGGGATTAAAGTCATTTTGGGTCCTAGACAAAACATCCAGGTTATATAAAAACTCTATAATTTTGTTATACATGTATTTACTATTGAATCCTTTCGGAGATGCGATTTTACTATAAATTTGAAATTTTATCTATTTATATGAGAATTAGGGGGTTAAGGGCTTAAGGGTATATGACCTCTGTTAAATAAGCCCTAGCTAATTATTGTTATTTTGCAACTAGGTCCTGTTTCTAACCAAGCACATCCTTATTTTGTACAGTGTAAACATTAAGAAAAGATTTTAAATTAAAAAGTAAACAAATAAAACATGTATATTTAAATATTCAACGATTACTTTCAATTATATTTCCTCAGTTCCACTTAAACGTATACATTTCTCAAATATAATTTACGTTATCTGACAAAGTATATAATGTAATTTATCGTTATTTATAAGAATTGCTTACAACTATTTATTTAAGTTAGAACAGTGAATAACAAAAGAGACATTAACGTAGTCAAAAATTCATTTATTCTTAAATTTGATTTTTCTTGTATATAAAATAAACGAGACATAAAGTTGTATCTTAAAGCTTTCTTGTTAAACAAGTTAGGAGAAATTGGATTAGAGACAAAGGGTAATTACAATGAGAACAGGCTTGTACCGAACTTTGAATGTAAATCATCTTGTCTGTTGCAGGCTGAAAGACTTTGAAATGACTTTGGTATTTTAATCGATAAATTCATTTTTTTATTATGAAAGAAAAGTAATTGTATTCTTTCAAAATATTTTGTTACATTTTCATTATTATTTACGTGTAATGTTACATTATTCATGTACTTAATACATATGTAAATGCATATAAAATAGTAAATATGAATAATGAAAAATAATCAAGAAAATAACGAAAAAATAGTATTTTTTTCCAGTAATTAATTTTTGTATGTTTTATACGAAAATATTATATAATTAACCATAACAATATTACGAACATAATACATTATTATTTAAAAATCGGGAAAAAATTAATATTTTAAATAAATTATACTGAAAGTGGTAATAAATTGATTATTTCACATTCATAAATAACAATTTATATTTATAAAAGATATTTCTGTAAACTGAGTTAAGTTGCGTGACTCTAGCGTAAGTAGAACAACAATTAAATTTCTTGTTGTAAATAATTTAAATTGTTGAATTTCAACTGAATTTATTTCAAAATACTAAATTTGCACCATGATTTTGAATAAATTTATATGGATACTGAATTTACAGTGTATTGATGTGGCAGAATACTAAGTTTTTAGAGTATAGCACAGGGTAAATTTACAGGAGTGCACCTTTAAACTTTCATGAGTCAATGAACGATGTTAATATTACAAAAGCATTTGGTAGCGCAATCGTCTTGTACGTCTGTCAGTAATATACACCACTGCATGTGATTACAATATAAAATTTTTTACATTTCTCAACTTTTATGACTGTTTCCAGAGCAAATTTGATTTTGCTTTATGTTTTAAAATATAAAATTTGCATTACATTTTTTATGAATTTACATATGTATGGAATTTTTAGGGTATGAGTATAGTTGAAATACTAAACTTACATAGTTTAGCATTGTTATAGTTGAATATAAGAGGGTTATAAATGCTACTAATAGTATAAAATTAATTAATATATCAGCCATCCTGTACAGTACATCTGTCAATAATTGCACCATTGTATATGATTATAAAATAAAATTTCTTAAATTTTTCTATTTTTAAGAATATTTTTATTATAAAAAATCTTCAGTAGTCTTATATTATTAATTTAATTTGCATAATTAGAAATGTTTTTAATATTGTGCAATTTAAAATTATAAGATTTAAAAGTAAAAATGTGAAATAATAAACGATAATTCGTTATTATCTCATTATATTTCAGTATTATAATTATATAAAATCGGCTTATCTTAATTTACATAACGATAAAGCGAGAATATAGAAATTTCAAAGATTTTTGTAATTAAAAAATTAATTATATATTGAATAAATTAATAAGCTGTTCAATTTAGTTTAATTGTCCCTGATTCATAATTAAGAATTTAAAAAAGTTTTTGAATTTATAACATGATTTTTCGAATCTTTTCTACGAAACATTATAAAAGTAATTACGGTGACTCATTTATAGATGTAACATTTACAAATGGGAAATTTAATTATACTTTCAACATAATTATGTAATTCTACTTTGTTTCTGGGTTATACAGATTATAATCTACGTTATTAACCCTGTATTATATTGTACTTTTAGTTAAGAATTCAGTGTATATTTGATAGTTTTTAGATATAATTTACAGGGCTAGTTTTATTTCTAACACGTAAGAGGCCTTTCCCCTCTACTAAACAATAATAATAATATAAAAAGCATAAAACTTTAAGCTACAGAAAAAGGCCTTATATCCTCGTAGTATCAGGCCTTTGGTTTATTCGTATACGGCAACAAGACACACGGGCTATCTGCCGAGATGGAATTCCTCTCAGAAAATCTTTTACGAAATTGGCTCCTATTTAGGTGTTACTAACGTGAAAAAAACCACGTGGTCAGCCCGCTGGTCAGGCGCTAACTACGACCAATTATTTCAGTGGGTTTTATCCACTCGGTTACTGGTGGGCACGTCAGGCCTTTATAATCTCATAATGTAAGGGCCTAAATATATTTTCGTAGTATGAATTACTAAACTGCATTCACATAGCGTGAGACTCTAAGTT